TGTGTGTGTGTGTGTGTGTGTGTGTGTGTGTGTGTGTGTGTGTGTGTTTTGGGAGTGGGAGGAGGTTGTACCCTCTGGGCAATGGAGACCTGCCAGCCTGCAGTGGAGGTGTCGCTGGGTCTTCCAGTCCCTGAGCTGGGCGCTGTGCTCCCCCTGCAGGCTGTGTCCAGTTCCTGCAATATTATTACCAGAGGGGCTGCCTCTACCGGCTGCGGGCCCTAGGGGAGAGAAATCACCTGGACCTCACGGTGGGTGAGTAGCCTAGCCTGGGGGGTAGAGGGGCAAGCACCGGCCCTCCCTGCTCCCCCAGACCTCGCCCTGCACTCCTCACTGGGAAGAGGTGCCAGTAAGAACCTGACAAGACCTGCCACACGCGAAGCCAGTCTGCCGACCTCACCCCAGTTGCTTTTCTTTTTTTTCTTTGGTTTGACATATATACACTAACACAGTTGCTTTTCATAATTCGTCGTGGGATTCCATTTCAGCTGACAAGTGCGAGACCAGCTGTGGGCCAGGCCCTGGATGCTGGCCTCTAGCTTCTTTTTAAATGGATATTTTTTGTCTGTGTCTTACGATGTACATAATCTTAGTCTAATGTTTTCACACTTATGCAATTTATGTGTGCTTAACTTTCACTCAGCAAGGTGGGTGCCCCATTAGGAAAAATCGGAGACTCCTCATCTAAACTTTCAGGGGAAAGTGTGGTTAATAAAAATCTTCTATCTTTTAAGATGGTCATTTCCATCGAATTACTCTGCACAGTAGGCTCTATTTCATCAAGACTCGATTGAAGTGATGCATGCAAAAGCCAATTATAAAATGCAAAATCCCGTGCAAATTAAATTACTAGAAAGCTAGTGCCGGCACATCAGTGTTCTGTAAGAGTTGTCAGCCCACTTGGTTCATGGTGACTTGAGGCGTGAGGGCAGTCAGGCCTGGTGGCAGGTGTTCTGCATGTTTTTTCCTGGGTTACTTTCCTAGTGAGCGCTCACCCACCTGGAGGAGGTGAGGGCTGTGCCCCTCCCCCATCCGTGCGTTTGAACCTGGCTAATCTCAGAGTGACTGGCCTGCCTGGGCCACCTCACACGGGCCCTTCGCTCCCTCCTTCCTCCCCACAGAAGGATTTCAGTCCTGGATGTGGCGAGGCCTCACCTTCCTTCTGCCCTTCCTGTTCTGTGGCCACGTGAGTCCCCCTGGAGTTTGTGGGTATCCCCTACACTGGGCAGACCTCCCGGGAACAGAAGGTCTTCAGGGCTCTCCCTCTCTCACCAGCCATCTCCGAGCTGGGCCCCACGGGGTCCTGGGGCTGAGACGGCCCCAGTGTCCAGGGATGCCAAAGGCAAGAGCCGGAATCGGCCCTCGGGACCAGCACGCCCAACCCCAGGCGGGGTGCCCCAGTTTCATTTTGGGGGGGCTGTCAGTGTCTCAAGGGCAGTTGACGGCAGAAGCTGCGGGGCTTGGTGCTCTCCCTGGGCTTTCCCACGTGGGTCTCCAGGGGACTCCGGTGGGCTGAGCAGTGCCTGTCTCCCCTCTCTGCAGTTCTGGCAGCTCTACAATGCCATCACGTTATTTGAGCTCTCCAGCCACGAGGAATGCAGAGAATGGCAGGTATGGTGTTTTTGTGTGTGTGTGTGTGTGTGTATGTGTGTGTTTTGTGGTGTGTGTGTGGAGCGTGTGTGCGTATTGGTTGGGGGTTTCCTGAGGAAGGTTGGGGCCGCTCGGGGAGAATTCCTTCCTCAGCTCCCCCTGCCCCCTGCCTGCCCTGTAGGGCCCTGCAGTCCAGAGCTCGCTGCAACTGGGGCCTGGGAGACCGTGGGAGGGAATTCGGGAGACCAGGGAGCCCTTCAGTGGTCTGAGAAACCCAAGGAGGTTCGCGCTAGGAGGGGGGCCGCGGGAGGAGCCCCCCAGGACTCTGCCTGACCCCGTAGGACTCACACCCTTCACCCAGTTAGCCCAGATCTCTGCCTTCTGCTGGCAAACGCTGCAGTTCGCAGGTAGCTTGTGCCAAGGGGGTTCTGAGCTCCCGGGGGGCGCGGGGGGCATTTCAGCAAGGAGAGCTGACCCAAGCCAGCGCGGCCTTTGCCTTCTTTCTCTTGTGCTTTCTGCCTCGCCTTCCCTGCCCTGGGCACCCCCTTCTCTGCATGCCGCCCGCCCAGGTGTTCGTGTTGGCGCTTACGTTCCTTGTCCTCTTCCTCGGCAACTTCCTGACCACACTCAAAGTCGTGCACACCAAACTCCAGAAGAACAGAAGCGAGGCCAAGAAGCCGTGAGCCACGGGGCCGGCGCCCCTCGACCCCCGGACTTTGAGACTGCAGGGGATCCCAGGCGACACCCTCGCTGCCGGGTTCCTCCCAACCAGTGCCAGTGGCCACTGGCCGCAGTGACCTCAGGGGCCAGCGGCATCGCTGGGAGCAGAGCCGAGGCCCCGGTCCCCGGCCGGACAAGAGGAATGTGACCCCAACCTGTCCGTGCAGTATTAGCCCGCCCCAGCCTCCCTATTTATGACATATTTAATATCGGCGCACCCCCTTCCCTAGAATCTGCCGCCCTCTTACCCCGCTGCTCTCCGCGAGACTGCGTCAGTCTTCCTGGGGGGTGGGGGAGGCTTAGCCTCAGGGTCCCCCTCTGTCCCCCATCCTGTCGTTTGAGCCCTTCAGGTTGGGCTTCGGACGTGCCTCGCTGGGGTTGGGTTTCCGCTGACCTGCTACTTACTGAGTCCCAGGCGGGTGGAAGGAAGCCCTTCCGTGTTCCGGGGAGCCGCCCTCCCCGGGGCACCGCTTCTGCCGTAAGCTCCCGGCCTCCGCGCGTCCGCCGCGCGGGTGTTCGGGTTCTCGGAGAACCGCTGTCCGTGTCTTTGTGCCTCGTACTCTTTGTGCTTCCTGAGTCTGCAGCCTGCTGGCCGCCAGGTGGCCCTGCCTCCCACAGGCCCAGGGCTTGGCCTGAGGCGGGAGGGTTTTCTGAGGGTCACCACCAGAGGGCGCCCCTGCATCGTCTGGCTGGTGTGAGGGCTATTTTTTTTTTTTTTCTCTCTCAAAGTTTGGGTCCACTTTTGGGGGCTTCATGACTCCCACCCCTCAGCCCACCTTCCCAGATTCTCTCCGTGAGCACTCAGGGCGTGGGGTCAAGCCCCTCGGCAATGGTTGGGACGTAAGCCAGCGTGGAGGTCACCCACGCTCAGGCTTCCTCCCTTCACCTCAGAGCTTCTGGAACGTGGGGGGCGTCTGAGCAGGCTCACTTCGAGGCGGCGGCCACACTCTAGAGGCCAGGGCAGGTCTGTTGGTCACCTCACGTTAGGTTCTGTATCTGTGGGGAGGGTGAAGAAGCGAACAGTTTGGCTACATTTTCTGCGTCTTCTCATATGGGCCTCATCCGTCCTTAACGACTTACTTAGAAATCCCTGTCGACCAGAGTACATAGATGGTGTCCCTAATCATGCTCTGGGTGTCAAAGGGGTTTAAACTTTTAAAGTATGAAATTTCCCCTCCCCTCCCCTCCCCCCAGTAAGATTCCACATAAAAATCCAGATTTCCACTTTCCCTAGAGAAATGGAAAGATCTAGAAACATTCCCACAGAGCAGCATCTAGCTGGGCTGAGCTGCCTTGTCTAGGATGGGGTGCTTGCTTTCTAATTTGCCACAGGCCCCACCACTCCCTTTCATCCCTGCCCTACTTCACTCATTTGGGTCTCCCATCTGGCCCCTTAGGCACTTGGGTTTGCCCTAGACTAGGAGTTGGCGAACTTTTTCTGTGAAGAGCCAGATGGCAAACATTTTAGGTTGTGAGGGCCAGATGGTCTCTCACTCTAGTCTAGTCTGCAACTGGAGGGCAAAAGCAGCCAACGCATAAACGAATGGGCTGTTTTTCACTAAAACTTTATTTACAAAAATAAAGATTTGGCCCACAGACTGTGGTTTGTGGACCTCTGTCCAAGACCATCATTTGTCCACGGAGCCTTGGACCGAATGCTCTCTTGATTCCCCAGGGCGCGGCAGGGCCTTGGGGAACCTAGGTGGGGTGGGGTAGACTTCAGAAGTCTCTTTCTCAGGCCTAGTGGGCGCTGAAGCACTGGGCAACGGAGGAGGCTGAGGCAGGAGATACCGGGGATGGCAGGACCACCTGAAGCCATTATCTCATCTTAGGTAACGCTGATCCCTGGGCTTACTCAGGAGCCACCAGCTCTCAATCTCTGGGGCATCAGAATCACCTGGGGCACTTGTTTCAAAACTCTTGGGCCCCTGACCCCAGACCTTCTAGGAGGTTCAGTGAATCTGCACTGGGGGTTAATCAAGTCTGTTCTCGCAGGAGGCCAGGATGGCCTTGGTTCCAGATCTCCACATCTTGGCAGAATTGGAGGCTGTGAGAGACGGGAGCTCGATGACTCTTTAAATGAGCCAGTGCCATCCTTCTGCAGACAGTCTGTAGAGAGACCTGACTTGCCCAAGATCACTCGGAGCTGGTGTCACTTTTCATCTCGGGTTTCTGGCAAGTAGTGGCGAGCAGAGGGGTTGCAGGTGAGGAGACACTGAGCGAGGGTCACATGGATCAGCCAGAGAATACTTTTTGCTTTTTGAGAGAGGTTCTTCTCTGCCTCATGTGCGTCCAGCTCTGGAAAGATGGCGGCCAAGCCGAGGGCTGAGACTTAAGTCCTCTGTTTGGAAGGGAGGAGGGAGGGGGCTGGTGCCGGCCCCCCACGTTTGGGGCTGGGGCCTGTGTTCTTGTGATAGGCCTCGGTCCCATCCTGGTGCCTGAGTTCCTGCGGGGAGGAAGCAAGAAGCTGGAGGATGCAGCCGTGCCTATCTCAGGAAACCAGGGAGGCGGGTGACTGGGGAGAGCAGGCTTGGGGGCCGTGTGGAACGCTGCCAAGTCCACATTTATCCTCATACCAGACGTCATTTCTCATCTCAAGCACAGGCTTTGAGGACCTATTGGGTGTGCAGAAGGGGACACACAGCTGGGGGTTGGTAGTGATGAGGGCACTCCTGAGTCCTGGGGACAAATGCTAGTTCCAGGGTACAGAGGGACTGAGTCCAGCACCCTCGCTCACCACCACCATGCAGGCTGGAGGGGAGCTCGTGGTCAGAGCCCCAGCTGGGAAAGGAGAGAGTTCCAGAATGTTCCAAGAGCCTGGCCACAGGCTCCAGACACCAGGCCCTGGAGACGCCCGACTCCGAGTGCCCTTCGAGAGCTGGGGAGGGTGCAGGATCCGGGGAGTAGTCTGGAGCTGGGGACCTGGGTCCTCTCAGTTCTACCGTGAGGGCCGTGGGCCCCGCCGGGAGGTGTCAAAGCAGCAGGCACAGACGGTGTTGTTTCTGCCGCTGCGCTTTCTTCAGAGCACTGAGGGCAACTTTGGCGGCCTCTCGGAAGACGTCCTCCACGTTCTCCCGAAACTTGGCAGAACATTCCAGGTAGAGGGCAGCTTGGATCTGCTCGCAGGCGCTCTGGCCCTGGTGGGGGGAGGGGCCGCGATTAGACGAGGGGCCTGGAGCATGCGGTCTCCTGTGAGACCCCTTACAGATTTGGGGGCTTGCTGGGGGCGGAGGCCTCGGTGTGGGGACGCTTCACCCCAGGGCCAGCACTCCCCAGTGTGTGCGGATGGACCATGAAGGCCAGTGTGGTGTGGCCTGTGGGCTGTAGCTGCTGGGAGCTCTGTCCTGGCCTCCTGCCCACGCTTCCCCCGAACTCAGGCAGAGACGGGGGCTGACTTCAGCCGAGAACTGGGGTGGTGTGTTGTGTCTGCCAGGCCTGTGAGGAGAGTTGAAGGCCTCAAGACAAAAGGGCTTCCTACGTGCTTCTCTCCCCTGCTCTTCCCGAAAGCGCAGTTAGGGCAACTGAGCTGGCTATTAGAGTAAAAACAGTATTTCTAACACAAATTTATTAATGCCTGTTCCTTTTTATTAAACTTCATTAGTTTTCCTTCGTGTTCCTTTTATTCTGCCATGCCTTACCCAGAAGGCCGCAGGGTTTGGTCAGGCTCATGAAAGGAACCCTGCTTTCCAACGCAGGCCTGCCCTTCCAGGCCTCTGGGGAGATGGGACAGGGTGGTGGTTGAGGGCTCAGGCTCTGGGGCCAGAGTGACTGGGATGGGATCTTGGCTCCACTTCAGGTTAGCTGTGTGACCCTGGGCAAGCTACTTAACCTCTCTGACTCTCCATCTCTCCTCTGTAATATGGGGGGCGCTAATAGTACCTGCTTCAAGGTTATAAGGATTAAATGAGGTAAGTAATGTAAAGTGCTCAGGCAAGTGGCCTATCATTATTAATATCTAAAAATTATTATTCTTAACCGCGGCAGTCCAGTGGTTAGGACTCGGTGATTTCACTGCCGTGGCCCTGGGTTCAATCCCTGGTCAGGGAACTAAGGTCCTGCAAGCTGCTCGGGGCGGCAAAAAAAAGAAAATCATTATTTTTAGAATCCTGCTGGCTTCAGCTCCCGAAAGGCTGCTAAGGCACACCAAATGCAGAGGCCAAAGACCTGGGAGGCTTTCTGGCCATGGCTGTGTCCTGGGCTCCTGGCGATGGGGTGCAGCGGAGCGGGGCGGGGGAGGGGCCCCTGGCCCACCTGCGTGTAGGTGATGGGCTCCAGCTGGGCCGCCCGGAGCTTGCGCAGCTGCTCCTTGTCTTTCCTCAGGTCTGTCTTGCAGCCAACGAGCAAGATAGGGATCCCACGGCAGAAGTGGGTGACCTCCGGGAACCACTGTGGAAGGAGAGGGCGGGCATCAGGGCTGGGGCCCCGTCCGTAGCCCCTCCTCCAGAGGCAGGCGGGCTGGGAGAGGGGCCTTACCTTGATGAGAACGTTGTCATAGCTGGTGGGGTTCATGACGTCATAGCAGATGAGCACGAGCTGGGTGTTCTGGTAGGACAGGGGCCGCAGCCGGTCATAATCTTCCTGCCCTGAAACCAGACAGCAGGTGGAGGTCAGGGAGGTACCACTTACTTCTCTACCTGAGTCCCCTGTCTGGCCTCCGATGCATGAGGGGTTGGGGGTCTCCTGGGCAAGAGACTCTAGGCCTCGGTTTCCCGCCTGTAAACCAGAGGTGGCGGGCTTCCCTGGTGGCGCAGTGGTTGAGAGTCCGCCTGCCGATGCAGGGGACACGGGTTCGTGCCCCGGTCCGGGAGGATCCCACGAGCCGCGGAGCGGCTGGGCCCGTGAGCCATGGCCGCTGGGCCTGCGCGTCCGGAGCCTGTGCTCCGCAACGGGGGAGGCCGCAACAGTGAGAGGCCCACGTACCGCAAAAAAAAACAAAAAAAAAAACAGAGGTGGCAGCCCGCAGTCCTACACGAGATAAAGCCATGCAGGGACTTCCCTGGTGACACACTGGATAAGACTCCACGCTCCCAGTGCAGGGGGCCCAGGTTCGATCCCTAGTCAGAGAACTAGATCCCACATGTATGCCGCAACTAAGAGTTCACGTGCCACAACAAAGGATCCCACGTTCTGCAACTGAGCCTGCCTGCTGCAACTAAGACCCATCACAACCAAATAAATAAATATTAAAAAAAAATAGCCATGCAGTGATCAGAGATAGGCCTGATTGCAGGGTAAGTGCTGGAAAAACTGCTAGTAATCATGCCAGTGATGATCACCCCTCCCTCCCATCCTTATCCCTGGTGCTCAGGTTAATAGCGCAGACTCTGAAGCCAAATCCAAAGTGAAGCCTCCCCTCCCTGAAGTTTCAGACCAGTGGGGTTGGGTAGGCCCAGGACACTGCAGTCAACCGTGGAGTGCGCCCCCCGTGCCCCCCCCGCCCCCCCGGCTGAGAGGTGCATGGCCTCTGGTTGAGCTCCTCCTGCCATTCCTGCCAACACTAGGAGGAGGGTGGGGGCGTGCTAGAGGTGACAGACCGTGCGCCCATCCAGGTCCACTCAGCACAGTGGCTGTCAACCCCTCTGCATACCAGACTCACCAGGAAGAACTGACAACTTCTGACACTCGGTCCCTCCCAGCACCACCTGAATCAGAACCCAAGGCTGGGCTTGGGCGACGGTTGGTTTAAAAAAAAAAACTTTTTTAGTAATTTTTTATATTGACAATTTCAAACTTACAGAAAAATTACAACAGAGAGCACAGAACTCCCTTACTCAGATTCACCGAGGCCTTACGTTTTGCCCACTTGCTTTATCTGTATATATACACTTTGAATCACGTGAGAAGGAACTGCAGACCTTCGGCTCCCCCGCCCCCACCCCCACCCCCAGGGGAGAGTTCCTATGCGGTTTTTCTAAGAACAAGGACGTCCTCTCACCTACTCAGGGCAAGTATGAAACTCAGAAACCAACACTGACATTGTACTCTTCTAATCCAATCCATAAGCTGTATTCAGATTTCACCAATAATGTCCTGTAGTATTTTTTTCCCTAGTTCAGAAGCAGGCCCGGGATCACACACTGTGCGTGGTTGTCATGCCCTATTTTTTGTTTAAAACTACCACAGTGAGAACTGAGAGTCTTTCAGGCCCTATGGCGACCCCTGGCCACCTCTGCAGAAAGACCCAGGCGGTGACTACCTTCCAGGGAACACAGAACTCAGACCCCAGGAATTCCTGCCCCTTCCTCTAGCCTGTGGGTGCCAGGGAGGTGCCACCTGCCCTCTGATCCCTCCGTGCCAAAGGCCTCTCAGGACAAGCAGCCTCTCCCAAGAGCACAAACAGGACACATCCTGCTCCCAGACCCCTGCTGATGACAGGACACGGCCGCCATCTCCTTTCCCACTGGCCCTCCTCAGCCCAGGGATCCTTGATGGTGTGCAGTGACTGGGAACCCAGATCTAATGATGGCTGGGCCGGGAGGACTGTCTGTGCTGTCACTCAGCCAAAGTTCCCTCAACACTGGAGAAGGGGTGAGGGGTAGTCAGGGCCCCGCAGACTCAGGCCCTCCTGCCCTCATTACCAGAAAGCTGGAAAGATCCTTGTAAGATGGTGGGAAACTGGCCCAACGTGCTCTTCCAGCCCATCTCCCCTTCCCATACATGTCCCCTCTCCTGACCTTTGTCCACATCTTTCTGATAGGGTAGTCACTAGCCCCATGTGGCTATTTGAGTTAATTAACATTAAAAATTCAGGTTCTCCGTTGCATTGGCTACATTTCAAGTAATTAACTGCCCCACGGGGCTAGTGGCTACCGTAATGGGCAGTGCGGGTGCGGAACATCTCCATCATTGCAGAAAGTTCTACTGGATGGCATGGCACTATCCTCATCCAAGCCACCGTCAGTCTTCTGTGCCACCTCCTCCCTGGCCTCCTGCTGCCCCTCAATCCATTATCCACCTGGCAGCTGGATGGATGGTAACACAAGTAAAATCACACCCCTCTCCCCTCAACTGAAACACCTTCAGTGGCTCCCTACTGCCCTTTGCAGAGAATCCAAGCCTCTCCCAGTGGTGCACATGACCCTGCTGCCCACCAGTCTCGACTTCATCCCCCTTCCTCCTGCCCCACTCACTCGCTGCAGTACAACCAAGGCAGCCTCCTTGCTGTTTCTCAAACCTATCAAGCTCTTGTGCCACACCTGGAATGCTTTTCCCTCATTTTTTCCCCCATTTCCTTCCTAGCATTTTATTTTTAAACATTCAGACTGACCATCCACAGTATTTCCTTTTTCAGATAATTGCCTTCTCTCTACTACTTACTGGTAATGCCACCTTATACGTCGCACTTTTTTTTTTGGTGACCGCACGGCCTTGGGATCTTGGTTCCCCAACCAAGAATTGAACCTGGGCCCTTGGCAGAGAAAGCCCAGAATCCTAGCCATTAGGGCACTGGGGAACTCCCATCACACTTTTTAGAGTGCCTTTGCCTATAAATGATTAAGAAACCTTTACAGGGACTTCCCTGGTGGCGCAGTGGTTAAGAATCCACCTGCCAATGCAGGGGACACGGGTTTGAGCCCTGGTCCAGGAAGATCCCACGTGCCGCGGAGCAGCTAAGCCCGTGCACCACAACTGCTGAGCCTTCGCTCTAGAGCCCGCAAGCCACAACTACTGACGTCCACGTGCCTAGAGCCTGTGCTCTGCAACGAGAAGCCACCGCAGTGAGAAGCCTGCAAACCGCAATGAAGAGTAGCCTCCGCTCACCGCAACTAGAGGAAGCCTGCGCGCAGCAACGAAGACCCATGAAAAGAAAAAGAACAGCAAAGACCCAACGCAGCCAAAAAAAAGGAAACCTTGACAACAACCACCTGCCTGATGTGCTAGTCAGGGATCTTATGAATACTCCCATTTACATATAAAGAAACATGAGACGTGAACTGACCCCTCTGAGGTCACCGAATCAGAGCCAGGCCTGACTCCACATTCATTCAAGTCCAAGGCCAGCGTTCCTTCTGCTGATACGCAGCAATGCTCTATTCTGCTCTGTAGTGTGCAAAAACAGGTTCTGGGCCTCTACGATGTAATGATGCGGCTCAGAATTCTGGCCTCACATACACTCTGATTCCCTTTTAGAAACACGGCAGGAGAAGACAAGCAGTTGTAAAATGGGGCTACGGTGTTCTGACGTCTCCTCCCATCTTGCCCGGCTGATTCCTCAGAGAGGCCTTCCCTCACCACGCAAAGTCCATCCACAGCCTGTACTCACACATTTGTTTACCGCCTGTCTCCCGGGAGACTGTAAGCACCCTGAGGGCAGGGTCCATGTCTGTCTAAAATCATTCCTGGCACAGGGTAGGTGTCCAGTCACTATTGGCTGGTGGGTGGTTGAGAAGTTGTTCATCTCTTGTCAGACTTAGCAGAGACGAGGGCTGAGACATGCCACTGGGCTTTGCAATTAGGGCCTTTGCAATTAGGGCCTGACTGCAGCAAGCTTGATGAGGGCGGAGCCAGACTGCAGTGGGTTGAATGAGGAAGTCAGACCAAGCCTGCTCCTGGCTCAGGGCCTCTCCCTTGCTGTTCCCTCTTCTAGAAGGCTCTTCCCAGGTAATAGCATGGCTCACTCCCTCCTTTCCTTCAGGTCTCTGCAGAAATGTCACCTCTTCCAAGAGAACTTTCCAGACTGCTCTGAAACAAGAGCCTCCTTTGCAGTCTGTCCCATGACCAGCTATGGCTTTATTTTTCTTCCTAGCAAGTATCACTACCTGACATCACAGTTGTTTTTGTTTGTGGGGGGAGATGTCCCTCATGAGCACGTAAGACCCTGAGGACAGGCCATCTCTGTACTCCTCACTGTTAGATCACCTGGCGCACACAGGCTCTATAAACATTTGGGGAATGAACGAACGAACAAACGAGCCGGTGAATAAAATGGAATAATCATCTCTATGGCTTTCGGTTTGCAAGGGCATTTCACTTCCATCACCTGTTAATTTTTTTTTTTTTTTTTGGCCGCACCTCGCAGCGCGCGGGATCTTAGTTCCCCGACCAGGGATCGAACGCGTGCCCCCTGAAATGGAAGCGCGTATTCCTAACCACTGGACCGCCAGGGAAGTCCCACCCGTGTTAATTTAAGCAGTCGCCCCCCCACACACACCCCCGGGAAGCTGGGCGGGCAAGTTCTTCCTGTTAGGAGCCCACGTGGCTGGGGGTGGGGCTGCAGGTTTCAAGGTCACTGACAGGCTCCCTGTGAGCTGAAGCACCAACGCGGTTCCCAGCTCCAAGGCCAGTTTCCTGCCCAGACGCTGTAAAAGCTCCAGTCCTCCCGGGAAGCCTTCCTAATTGGGAATTAATCTCTGGACCTCAGTTTCCTCATCTGTGAAATGCGTATGTAAGGAGCAGGTGAGCCTCGATAATAACAGTAAAAATGGTTAGTATCAACAATATTTATTGGCAGTGCTCTCACTCATCACATGCCAGGCCCCATTCAAAGCCCTTTACCTGCATAGACTCATCACTCCTCACTATGATTCCTCACTACTGGCTATTGTTTTTGTTTTGTTTTGTTTTGTTTTTGTCGAGTCATGCA